TTCCTAACTAAGCCATAATTTTCCCAATTTTATAATTATTTTCTCTCAATACAAGTGCATCCTTGTCTAATATTTTTAATCAATCTCATTACATGTTAGCTTAATCATTGGCGTCGTAATTTGGTTGTCCTAGTAATACCCTCAATAGATTAAACTGAAGATTAAGAGGAGAGAAATGCCTGAATGAACCTCGTACACTACCTTCCATCCTATAAAATTACATCAATACAATTGAATAAAATTTTATATGTCATTATTTCTAATAATTTTATTTTTATTATAAATGCATGTTTAATTTTTTGTATTTTTTGTCTCTATTATCATTAATATTATAATAAATTTATATTTAATGCATTTAAATATTATATTTTTATTGGATATATCATTGATGACATGGTATACCAAATCTATCTAAAAATTTCTCAGAAAGAAATCAAGAATGAAATAAAAATCATTGAAAAGAATAAAGACCCTAGTATTTTTTGGGAGAATTATTATCAAGTCAAAAATAAGAAAACGAATTAAGAAAAATGACAAGTCATGACCTCATAAAAATTAATTCCAAATTTGGATCTCTTCTTATTTAAATTTCCTAAATTTAGTACTCATTTTTTGATGTTTCAATACTAAGAATTTTGATTTGATATTAATCTTCTTTTGAAGTTCTTAGTTGTGATTTTATCAATTAATTATTTCTTTAATCAATTTACAAATTAGACTCAGCGAAAATGACAATAAAATAGTACCAAAATAAACAAATGACAAATAGGTATTATGAAATGTGTTAATTATTTTTTAGTCCCTAAGGACTTATTTGACATTTTAATTTTCTATGAAATGACATGTTTGCCCCTACAATTTAAAATGAAAAATAAATTGAAATCAAATTTGACATTTGGACACGTCGGACGCTTGCCCCTCTCCGTTCTCACCATTCTCGTCGTTCTTTGATCACTTCTGGGCATCGCCGTCTTTGCCACCACAGTGGGTTCTGGTTTGCATGCTCTGCTCTTCGGTCTTCAATTCTTCATCCAGGTGCCTTTTGATTCTTCTCTTATTTAGATATTTATTTTGCCTTTGATTCTTCGAGCCCCTGAAGCCGTTGTTCAACACCGAGCTAAGAACGACAGGTAATTAATAGCCCAGAATGCTGACGACAGAAGCCATGGTGGTGATTGCCGGACGTGGAAGGGAGAGAGCTTGGTTCCGACGGCCTGGGTATGAAGAAGCCGAGCGGAGCTGGTATGATGAAAGCGATTGTGGAGTGTCGGACGTGAAGAAGGAGCTATTATGTTCATAATGATCCAGATAGGGATTCTAATATGAACTCTTAGAATTTCAACATGGACGGAGGTTCGACAGTATATAATAGAGAGAAACAAGGTCTGACATTTTTGTCACATATCCAAGAGCTTTAAGTTGGCAGGATTTAAATCAGAGGAGCTAAGGTTTCAAGAAAACTTTTAGGAAGGTGATGAGATATTGGAGGGAGGGTTTATATGTATACTGATAAGTAATAAAAACGAGATAGGACACTAATTAAAATAAGATTAAAGTAATATTTTTAATTTTTTAACTTTATATAAAGTTTTAACTTAGTCCTTTAATTTGTAAACTATTCTTTTAATCTATAATCTTAACATAGTTAGTTTTAAATAATTATTTTTTTGTCAATCATTATTTATTTTAAAAAATTAAACTTAATATGTTAACATCTAAAAATGTTTTGTTAATATGCAAAAGCTCACTGAAGTAAAACTAACAGTGTAAGGTTAAAAGATAAAAAAAGTATTTTATAAAGTTAAGAAATGTTATATAAAGTTAAAAGATTAAATATATATTTTAGCTTTAAAATAACTGTAATAGCCAAGACAATTAAGCACACGTCAACCTTGGGCCAGATAATTCAAACCTGGAAACAAATAATTAACAACATCCTAGTGACTACTACAAAAGAAGACCAACATTCTGACCAACAACTTCAACCCACTAATACCAAACAGTTACAAGGTAATCCAAAGTAATTTCATACCCAAGCCATCAAGCCACGTGATTCATGATTAGATCATACAAGCTACAAAAAATATGGAACAGATAGAACAACTATCAACAAATTCATTAAGTTCCGATACTTAGCATCATCCTACGGTGGTAAATGACATAAAATAAAGCTAGCCAGTTCCAAAACTAATAACAAGACTCAAAATGAAGAACTACTTTTTCGGCTGTTTCTCTTGATTAAATCCATTTCTTTACTCGGAATTGTAAAGAGAAAGGGGTGGGATAATAATTTCGTAAATCAAAGCATTAATGATGAAGTGTAACTACTTTTTTTTTTCATTTCTCAATTTCAGTAGACAATATAACAATTTAAACAATTTAAAGTATGCTTGCAAAGGAAAAACAACTACATATTCATATCATCATAAATGCTAACAAAACATGAACATTAATAGGTAAAATCACAACTCATGACTGCCATTTATATCACAATCATTCATAGCTATCATCCTCAATAGGACTAGAGCCACCATTTGAAATGGATTTAGATTCGATAAGTGGTATAAATATACTTAATGAATATATATTAATTATATTCATTAAATTTTTATTAATACTTAAAAATTATCAAAATATGTTCTCCTCAAATATTCACGACAATCCTCTTGATCAGAATATTCCTCACTCATGCTATTCTCTCCAAAAATTTATGTTACTTAATCAAATCAAATGATTATACCACAAAATCACTAGCAGTCGTTTAATTAAATCAAATGATTATTATTGCATCACTTAAGCCATTTATTGAGTAGTATATTTAGATCAGTCATTGAATTTAAATCTCATTGGAAAATATAATGGATAAATTAGGAATAAAAAGGTAATAGATTGCTTATTTATATTCATAGTTAGAATTATAGGGTAGCCGTAGAAGAAAAATTAGTAACTTTTAGCGAACGCATGTTATATATAACATGATTTAATTAAATAAAAATAAAAATAATATTTTAAATTTGAATCCAGAAAGAGACTAGGAAATTTATTTTATATAATAATAAAAATAATAATAAGACCCGATAATAATAGGTTTAGACATTTATTTTGACCAATTAATTTATCATCCTAATTTTTTAAAGAATCATGGGGTTTAGACTAGAGACTTTATGAATACTATATTTTATCCTCGTTTAACGCCAAAGGGAAATGAAAATTTAAAAAATAATTTTTCAATAAATATTGATTTTAAATTTATAAAAAAACAATAAAGTAACATGTAAAATAAAATTATTTAAAAAATTACAATTTATTTATATAAAAATATAAAACAAGTCATTGTTATGCTACTAAAAGAACCTATATATGTTCAATAATTTAATAAAAAGCAATGGCATCTAGGAATCTAGGATAGTATGTGGATTGATGTTTTTAGTGACAACTTTACCAAAAAAGACAATTGTGTACAAAAGGAGTGACCGGAAGTCCTACGAGTAAGCACAAATTTATCATTATATATATATATATATATATATATATATATATATATATATAAAGAGAATAACAGGTTACGTATTCATGCCACGTGACCCTTTTTTGTGAATTTTGTAACTTCGTGTTTAGGGATGCTTTTGTGCTTCAGAATCAGGTCCAAAATTAGGTTACGGATAATTTACTATTATTTTTGTATTTAAATAAAATAAAGTATTAGTTAGGTTTGGGATAATTTATCATATTTTATATATGACAAATAATATTAATATATATATATATATATATATATATAAGAGAGTGGTTACCGGTTGTGAATGTGCATATATATTTGAAATTCAAATTGAATCATTTAAAAAAGGAAATCAAATTTTTTATATTTTCATACAATAATAAAATTAAATATTGTTCATACTTTTATATGTCCAATTTGAAAAGTAAAATAATAAAATTTATAGATTTATCAATTTGAAATTCAATTTATTATTTAGTAATGGGATAATTTTATAATTTCTTTCTCTATTTCCCAAATTCATACCATTCTTTTTCATTTACCTCATATATATATATATATATATATATACACATTATTGAAATTAATTATATGCAAAAATGAGTAATATAAATGTATATAATCATAAATAAAATTTTAAGTGACATATTTAAATCCAATAAGAAGATTAATTATGAGTTAATTAAATTTAAGAAGCTACCACGTTTAATAAATATGTAACAGTTGAAAAATAAAAATAATTTAAATTTATATAATTGGAAATAAAATCATAAGCAGCATATTATGAACTGTAATCACTTTTTTTTTTATTGAATTCAAGTCCACATATAATAAGCTTAATAATAGGCTAACTACATTTAAGAATCTTGGTTAAGTTTATATAATCAGAGATTATTTATAAAATTATGATAACTACTCATGCATTTCCACAACTTAAATTTAAGTAATTAAAAAGATAGATTAATATAATCTTAGAAAGTTTCAATGCATAATCAAAACTTAAAATTGATTTTCTTAAATTCGCAAGCAGCATATCATGAGCTGTATTTGTATTTCAAAAGATATACTAAATCGAGATTTAAAGATGGTTTCACTTTTAAATTGATTAGTTTAGTTCCAAAGATACTATGCCAATTATCTTCCCAAGGTTTAATTTGGTTAGTTTAGTTACCTTAATAATAAAAAGACTTTATTTTTAAATTTCAAATTTTAAATTAGTTTAAATTTCAATATCTCGTAATTAGATTAGATTTACAATTTAAATTCAAATGTTTCTCTAACATAGATACTATATTGATTATAAATAAATGAGACTTGGATTGTCTCCACTACCCTTCTTCTCCATTTCCTCTCCATTACTCTAAAATAAAGTCTAGATCATCCAGATTTAATCTAGATGGTCTAGATCTAAAGTTTTTATTTTTATGTATATTTTTATTTTTATTTATTAAAATTAAAATTAAAAGTTTTAATAAATTTATTTTATCACCAATCAAAACAATTCAAATTTAATTTGAAGGATCCAAAAATTATAAGTGTAAAATACACACCAAATCTAGACAATCCAAATTTTATTTTATGGTAATGGAGAGGAAATGGAGAGAAAGGATAGTGGAGACTAGCCAAGTTCAAATAAATGTACTTAGCTGAGATTTTATTCCACGTTTTCAGTTTTGATTAATTCAAGTATCATTCATCAATCTATTGTGCAAATAGTGTGTAAAAATTATCTTTCAGTGTCCCTCATGTATTTTCTTCACTAATATTTACCTTATCTTTCGTCTATTCCCAACAATTCTACTTTAACGTTTTATTCTACTCTAGCATATGAGTTTTACACTAATCATGCTATAAAAATGTTGAGTCGAGATTGACAAATCATAATTTGAGTAATTCATCTTTAAAGAATACGTGATTAAAACTTATCAAACAAATCAAATGGTATTGAATTGATATTTCATGATGTTGAGAAAGTCTTTGTGGCTATGATATTTCATAAAGTAATGCCAATTTCATTTTTATTTATTATTTATTAATTATGCTTATGCTCCCTTTTTTTTTAAGTTGTATTTGATGAAGGCTTTAGGCAAATCCTTCTTGATATTCTAGGTGGTTTTAGAGGATATATTGTTTTTGTCACTACTAACTTTTTTACGCATTGGTGGTGATTGTCAATTATCTTCTTATAATAACAAGAAACATGAGATTTTTGGAAACAAATACAGGAACATTTATTAGTTATTTTCATAATCTTATTAATTGAATTATCTTAATTGGTGATGAGACTCTAATAAAATCAATAAAGGATATGTCAAAGATGGTAAAACGATTCAATCCTTTTGGGTAACCCTTGAGGGCTAAGGCCTAAAAAGCCTACTTGCCTAAAACTATACTCCCTCTATTTAAAAGTGTAAGGCATGTTTAACAAAATCTCGCTTTTCAATAAAGTAATTATCTACTTTCAAACTAACTCTATCTTTTCATATTTACTTCTACTAAACACCCTACAATAAATATAAAGTTATTATCAATAGGGATACTTTTGAAAAAAAGGCAATGATTATACCTTAAAAGACTAAAAATACTTTATATTTTTGAACATTTAACTCTTTAAAAAAATAGTTTACATCTTTGAATGGAGGGAGTATTATTTTTAAGTCTAATCATTGAGCTTGCAAGGTCAACCGTAAGAGCATCAAGCCCTTTTAATTGTTTTTTAATTACTTATAGGTATCTTATTGAAGGCAATCCTATTTACGGCACAATTAGGCACTAAATGCGAGCACCTCTCATAGTGGGAATCTGAACTTTGGTTTGCCATTTTGTTAGAGACTAAACCTAACCCCATTATTTTAAATTTTTTTAGACTGTAAAATAAATACATGAAAATATAGTAAATTAAACTATAAATAATTAAATATTAACTAGTTCAAATTTCTAAAATAAAACTGAACAAGTCTTTTCTAAATATCAATAAAACAATAATATCCAAATATTAATAGCATCATCATGATGATCGTTATCATTTTAAATATCAACAATATTTTATTAAGATTCACTATGAGTTGGCTTTCCAGTGGCAAAACTATATATGAAGATTTTTTTCTATTTTAGGCTAGAGTTTTATTTTTTATTTTTTTCAACATTTTTGTTTTATGTGTTGTGCAAGTTATTGAAAAATTATCAATATATGTTAGTCTAGTTGGTAAGAATTTAGTCTATAAAGTTATATGTTCAAATCTCACTATTGATGTAAAGATTTTGTTAGTAGATGATTTGTAAATATCTCTGTAAATATTCTTTAAATCTTAAAACATGTCCTAGTTCTAGTGTGTTTTTGAGACTCAACTCACTAAAACTTTTGTTTATAAAAAAAATTATTTAAAAATTGAGAGCTAGCTTAAAAAGTGCATAAATAATAAATATGTTAAAATGATATCATAAATCTTGATAATTACTCATTATATAATGATGGAAATATCATTATTCAATACACCTCCTCTTAAATATAAGGCATTTGTAAATTCCTAATCAAGGAGGGGTAATTAAATAACAAAAAATGATCTAAAAATGAAATGACCTTTTAAGCTTACGCATATTTAAAAATATAAATTTTTAAAAAAATATTAGAAAATTGAAAATAAGAGTGACTAAGAGACATTGGGAAGTACTTTTTAAAATAAGCTAATTAATAGTGTCTGTTTTATACTAAGTAACTAAGCTATAGGCTAATCAAATTTTTTTAGAATATTACTAATATATAGACTGGGAAGTACTTTTTCGTTTAAAATTATAATATATTTTTAACAAATTGACACCCTCAATAAATTATTTAATAATATTAAAAATTATACATTTTTCACATCTATCTTTATTTAATATAGTATCTCAATCTAACAAATACATGATTAGCAAGATATGATGTGGATTTTTTTCAGTTGACCCCTCAATGTTTCTCCGTTGTCGTCCTCGATCACTGGCTCTTCTCTTCTCTTTCACTTTGACTGTCATTGTTTCTCTGAGGACGAAAATTGGTTGCATCTCGTCGCAGTGTCCTCAGAGCCGTTACCTCAGATCTGGATGTTGATGAACTCTTTCGTTGCCTCATATTAGCTTTATCATGCCCTTTTTGTTTATGACTTTATGTTATATATTTCAATAAAATGTCTCCTTAGGTTCGTTGTGGCTGAAGTATTGTGTTTTGATGACTATTTCTGTTCTTGTGTTTAATTAGGATTTACTTGTAACTTTTTTTCTGGTGATTTCTATTGTTATAATGCAAGTTATTTTGTATTACATATAAATTCAGTCCGTGTTCTTTATAAATGATAGATGTCAAAGAAATTGTAGTGCGAGTAGTTAGGTATGTAAGCATGTAAAATTTATCACCAGCTTTTGAATGATGCTTTTCGTTCATCGTAGAATACATTCTCCTCAAACTTGTTATACTGTGTAATTTTTTCCATTGCCATAAAAAAAAAAAATTCCCCCAGTCTAATCAAGTAAATACAGTTTTGCATTTTTCACAATGAGTAGATATTATACACTACATATTATAGTTTTGCAAACGATCATGATCTCCTTACAATCACGGACCAGGTGGAAAATATACTCAACGGATGCGGTTGAAATAATTAGCAGCAAAAGGCTCTTCATGAGGGCTTGTCTTAATCTTTCGCATTGGTTTAGCCGCTCTTGAGTTTCCAAAGATATCCCATAAACGCACCGTCCCATCCGCGGCTGCTGATGCCACAGTACACCCATTAGGGTTCTCAGCCATGGATAGCACACCAGACACATGACCAGTGAGCTCAGCCATCTTCATCATACAAGGGTACTTCCAAAGTATGAGCTGGTTATGGGGAGATCCATGCGAACTCAGCAATTCGTGTTCCTTCTTATTCCACAGCAAAGCACTCACTTGTGAACCTGTGTCTATAGAGTTGACGCTCGTACCAGTGCAAGTGTTCCAGAAGTTGATGCACTTATCGTGGTTATCACCTCCACCACCGGAAGCGAGTAGGTTTAGTCGGAACGGACACCAAGCTAGTGCGTTCACTCTCCCTCTGTGACCTGCAAGCTTGTGAAGCCATTGGATTTGGTGGGTGGACGATTTCGAAGATGCCATGGACCTGTCCCATATGTGAATTAATCTATCTTTCCCACCACTGGCTAATCGTTCCCCTGAATCAGCCCATTTCAATCCAGTTATCTCCCCAGAATGTCCCTCATAGGTTGCAACAACATGAGATTTGATTCGAACATCGTTGTTTATGATTTGTGTATCTGCTCCTCCGGTTGTGAGAAGATGATCGTTCCAAGCTAGTGAACCTACTTGACCTTGGCGTCCGTGTTTGAATGTTCTTAGCTGCGTTCATAAACAGAAGAAAGGTCAGGATGCAAGTAGCATTCAATGAACCTAATTAAGGAACGAGAGAAAAATCTGTCTCTCTGAAAACAGGAGAAGTATTAAGCATTCTCTCCCTCTTCCTTTTTTGAAAAAATCACATCCAGCCTTCTCTCAAAGAAATTAATTACAGGTAAGAACTAATGTGAAATGGATTGTTGTTAAAATAGGAACATAGTTTGTTTTTTTGAATGAAATTTCTTATTGGTCCTTATCGGTGATTAATTCTCTTGAGAGGGGGCTGGATGTGATTCTTTCTTTTTTTTTTGTTTATTTCAAAATAATTCCATCGAGCTAAGGCTTTTAATGTGCCCTTCTCTAATGATTATTATAATACCCCAACTTTTTAATTTTGTTTTTCTTTTTTTTAGATCATTGGCTTCTTCACAAAATAAGAGATATTTTGATATCTTAAAATTCCACAACGATAAAGATTTGTATCTTCTATGATTTTTTAAAGAAAAATATTACAATTATACCTTTTATTTTATGTACAAATTGGACTTCAAAATATCAAAATATCTCTTATTTTATGTAGAATCCAACAACTTAAAGAAAGAAAAAATAAAATTGGGAAGTTAAGACATTATAATAGACATTAGAGAATGATACATTAGAAGCCCGTAGCCTAGTTTCATCATGCTAAACAAGACCTAAAGAGAATAAATGAACTCAATCTAGTGTTTTATTTACCCGCTTAGTTGTCGTAGTATCCCATAGCTGTACACGAGAATTGAACAAACCAATTGCTAATCGCCGTCCATCAGGAGCCCAGCTAATGCTTGTAACTGGACCATCTTCATCATTGAAAGTGACGACTTCTGAGAAAGAGTCATCTAAGGGATTCCATAGGCATATTGTATGCTCAAGGGCAATGCAAAAGACGTTGCTGTTACTCCAGTCCATTAAATTCAAAGACGAATCGTCTCTGAGACCAAGAGCCTTCAACATATGGCAGGGTCTCTGAAATTATAATTTTAACAAAATAACATATAACTCAAAAACTACTTGTGTAAGTAAAATTCTAGCAAGAAAACCAGAAACAAATGTAGATATTCTGTTTAAAAATTACCTGAGGAATATCTCGCAAGAGCTTGGAGGATGTGCTTTCAAGAGTTGCAGAAAGAGACTCATGCTTTGGCTTGTTCTTGAAGGCTAGTATTCTGGTGTGGTTCACTCCAAGGGCCTCAGCCAATTTTTCCTTATAACTTTCTCGACTCAGAGGATTCGGTAACCACGACCATGCAAAATCCTTTTTGCCCAATTGGTTTGACTGGGTTAGCATGCAGTGAGCAAACCCGAAATCCATGGCCGACCTGTTCGGAATAAATCGATCTATCTGAGCGTCAAAGACACGAAAAAACATTAGTTCGAAGGGAAAAGTAAAGGCCAGAAAAAAAAAAAAAAAAGTCAATTCGCTGGGACAGCAAATTGTATCATGGCCTCACGTTTTCGCCTGAAGAATGATTTCTGCTGGTAGCCATAACCGAAGACATATAAAAAATTGGGGGAGAGACGGAGGCGGTGAGTGAGGAGGGACGGAGGAGAGAGACTAGCTCGGACTGCCGATGGCAAGCAAATATTAATCTATCTAACCAATCCATAAGATTAACCATGTACGTTTAAATACTTTTGCTCATCAATAGCATTATTATTTTTTAAATATTTTTTCATTATTTTATGAGTTAAGATTCTCTAGTGTTTGAGATTATCTTATTCGAATAAAGATATTTTGAATATTTTTAAATTTTCATAAAATTAGAATTTTATTTTATTTTTTAAAGATTATTTTAAATTTTATTTATAATAAAATAATATATCTAGATATCTTTAGATGATCTTTATTACTTTTATTTATAATTTAAAATTAGAGTCAGGTCTAAATTTTTATTTTTAATATTTCTATGGTTAGAAATAATTAAGGGAGAATTACGGCATAGGACAGCCAATAGGACATAATTTAAAATCAGAACTAATAAAATATAAAAATTCAAAGCAAAATCAAAAAATTAAATTGGAAAAATGTTTAGAAGGGAAATGACCATGATTCCATTTACTTATTATCTTTTTAAAAAAATTCACCTTACTGGAACACTGCCAGCGACCTGCATCAAAAGTTTAATTATATTTAATTAGATAAAAATATATTAAATATATAAAGTTAAATATCGGGTGTTTCCCATAATACTTATGTACATATTTTATCAAATTTCCTATAATATACATAAAGTGGGATTTTCAGCCACTTGTCTTGCCCACATGTACACTATGTACACGCGCGCGCGCCCACATGTACACTATGTACGCGCGCGCGCGCGCGCCCATGTATGTTATCGATGGTCACTTGGCTAGTGTGCAAGTTGATTCCAACGCGGGAAGAAAATCATTCTCTTGCCATAATTTTGGACGTACATGCATGATTTAACTCCATATTCTATACTACTGAATTGTCATAATTTTGGCCAAAAAAAAAAAAGAAATGAAATATTTTTTTATATGACGCAAGTAGAAATGAAAATAACTTTTGATGAGGTGTAATAATTAGTTAAAGAAAGAAATTTATTTAAATGCTTTTCATCAAATATATATTTTGTAATTCAATGCATAAAATTATAAAGTTGCCAACAGTAATTTAACATCCCATTATTCTCATGTACTTCTTTTAATTTTTAATATAAAACAAATTTAACCAACTTCATGCTCATTAAAAAAAGATAATTATATTATTTAAATGGAAAAATAGTGATGATGGACCATTTAAATAAATTTAATCAGCCAAAGATAGTAGTTATCAAAATTTAAATAAAAAAAATCTAAATAAACTTTTGTTAATTTAAAATAAGTTGTTATCAAAACTCAAATTAATACATATTGATAAAAGACTAACTCAAATCAATAAGAATCCATTCAAGTTTTAATAACAAAAATTCTTTATTGATATAAATTTCTTCTAGTGGTTCTTGATTAATATTTTCCCTATTAAAATTGTTAAAAAAATACATAACTTTTCAATTTTGTCCTTCTTTACAATTAATAACCATAATAAATTTTTATATAGAAATTCAAATGATAATAAATTAATAAATAGAATGTTAAATTATATTGAACAAATATCAATTGCTCTAGCATAACCTTGCTTTATATTAAGGATAGAAAAATATGAAATCCACATTCCGAAAAGCCAAAAAGCCACGAGAACAATGAAGCATTGATTTTTAAAGGAATGGTTTGGATATGCATTCACCGTTACCAAAATATATATACATATACGTACACACACACATACATATACACACATATATATATATATATACACATGGTACAAAAACAATGTGGATATATATATGTTGTACAAAAAATAAAAAAATTAAGGAAAATGTTTGAAAAAAGGAATGAAAAGTGAAGCAATAATAAAAGGGTGAAGAAGCGGAAAGTGAAAGTAATAGTGTGGGTGTGGGTGATGTGAGAATTATTGCATTGTATAAGTTTCAAGCTATAAAGGAATATTTTGTTTGGAGAAGCATGTGCTTCACTGTGGATAGTATTCTCATCACTTGATATTGAATGCTCAGGAGTCACACACTATTGTTTATCATAAACCAAATATTTCGCATATTCACTAGCCAAAATATGTTCAATGACCAAAGTTTACATCCACCCTAAAGATAACATGCTAATTGAATTGACCGAATTGGCCCTGTTTGGGTTCAGTTGGATGGACACAGGGACATCTTGTCTGGAACTTACAAGTAGCTCCTTAACGACAAGGCTTTGTCTTGTACTCTGAGCTTCTCAGAACATATCAAAGTTCCTCATTACCATAGGCAAAGAGGCACTTGTCCGCATAGGGACACTTCCCAATGGCATTCCAGTGAACACAAAGCTCTATCTTTAGTGTCCCAGGCGGATATATCAGGAGCTCTTATGCCTCCTTATCACCTTCAGCAAGGATGTAGAGCGTATGCTGCAAAATATTTAACTTTCAATTAGTAATATGCTAAGATATTTTAAAAGTTTTCTAAAATTTTAATACATGTGAGATTATATAAAGAAAAGGAATATAAATAAAATAATGATGTAGAAAAGGCAAATATAATAAATTCAAGGAAGTTAGATGGAGTGAGATACTGATTCAAGCTTGTTGGAAAGTAAGGATATTATTAGGTCTAGTAACAGGTGTATTGGGCTGAGCCCACTTAATGTTGAGTCTGTATAAGTTTATTTCTTGTGTCTATAAATAGGTTTAGTTATATAGTATTGTTGACTTTTCTTTGTTAAGATTATAAGATGGTTATTCAGTAACATTATCTTTCAAGAAGTCCAATATGGGACTAGAGCAGGGATTTTGGGCCTACTCCTTGCAAATTGGGTCATGCCATTGATACCCATTTTTTCAAGAATCCGAGTGTCTTGATGGTTTCTTGATTTATTCTGCTTCTTGACCCTATTTTCACATAAACACCAGTAGACACAACAGTGTCTGTCATATTTTTGCCATCTCGTCGTCATATCTCCTACTGTCATCATTTCTTCATAGCTGGCAGAAGTGATCCTTCTTCTAAATCTCATATTGATTTCCAACACCCACTGTACCTTCATCCTATAGATACACAAGGTGTGACTCTTGTTCCTCATCTGCTTATGAGTTCTAGCAATTATTCGAGTTGGAGTCGTGCTATGCGCATTGCCCTCCTAGGTAAAAACAAACTTGGATTTGTTGATGGGTCATATGCTAGTTCGATGCAATTGGATTCTCTTAAGTCTCAAGGGGTCAGATGTAATGCCATCGTCTTATCCTAGATTATTAACTCCGCGGATAAAGATTTGTCAACTGGTCTTACTTTCTTTGAGTTTTCTTCCCTGATGTGGAGTGATTCACAAGAATGGCTCAATAAGAGAGATATAGCCAATATCTATGGCCTCTATTGAGCAATCCATTCCTTGAGTCAAGGTACTTTGTTTATTTCACAATATTATGCCAAACTAAAAGATCTTTGGGATGAGTATGCAAGTGTTGGGGTAATTCCCACTTGTCATTGTCAAACTTCCAAAGAGTATGCTCCTATTATCCTCAAACTAGGAGCCGTATTCTGCTTCTCAACCCCTTGCCTAGTGTTAATCAAGCATATGCAATAATCTCCCAAGATGAGGAACAGCACCTTTTGATCACTAATCCGTCTCCTTTAGGAGAAACAATTGTAATGGCTGCTAGAGGTGGCCAAAATAAAGAAATATAATTTATAAATTAATAAATTATATATAATTCGATTGATTCAGTCTATTCGATTTTAAATTTTACTAACCGAATCAAACCGATCAACCAAAATATTTAAAATAAAAAAACTGAATCGAATTAAAAAATCAAATAGACCGAATCAAATAGATAAAATTCAATTTGATTCGGTTCGGTTTTCGGTTTCAGTTCAGTTTTGCTCACCCTTACATAAAGTATTGTTAATTGTGCTCCCTTTTTATAGAATGACCGAATTTTCATAGTTATTTGAAAATATTTTATGGGAGGTTTTGGCAATGGGGTACAATATGGAAAGGCATACGAAATTTCAAAGTATGGAGTCTCTTAGCGTGCTTTGATTCTATTGAATGACCAACTATTCATACAAAATCAACACTATGTTCTCAACTACTTTTATGTACATAAAAATGTTATTTACTTTTTTTAAAATAAAAAATTACATAAATTGTCATTAAGAGATTGTTATTAATTTTTTGGATATATAGCTTCAGCGCAGGTATTAATTCTTACTAATTTTTATTGTCAAATTATTTTATGCTTGTTTACTATAGTAAAAATATGTTATTTTATTTCTAATTCTGGTTAGGATTGAAAAATAATTTGAAATAAGTAGTCCCAATTATTCAAGTATTTTTAGATTATAAAATTATTTTATCTTACTTAATTAGGAGATATATTGAATGACTATTCAACAACTATTTCACTTTCAAATTTTTGAGATTTAATATTATACGTAATTCTTATTATTTTGGGTTTTAGAAACAGGTTTGGTAATCGTTTTTATAGTTGGTTCAGGGATAATTAAGTGATTGATTTAAAAAAAATTATCTATTTTTTAATTATTGTAACTAACAAAATATTTTTTAATTATTGTAACTACCAAAATATTAATAATATCAAAATATATCAATCTAAATATAGGAAGAACGACATTTTGGTCCCAAAGCACTGATTTAATGTGAATGAAGTCCCGAGAGATTGAAAAATGCTAACCATGTCTCAATGATCCTTTCATGAAAAAGAAAAAGAAAGCTTTATTCCTCCCGCAATAACTGATGTGATGTGGCTTCATCCTCTCTCCGTACATGTTGGCAAATTTTATTATGAAATAATAACCAAATTCCAAAATTTTTTCTTTCATTTTTTAATCCTTTTTGCCTCTATAATTTTCAAAACTATATCTTCCAATTTCTAATCAAAATTTAAGAAAATTTATTGTTTGAAATTTAAGGATAACAACTATTATTAAATATAACTAATCAAATATGTTAGGAAAAGTATTTCACGGCTATG